TTGTCCTCTTCCTCCTTCCTATTACTCTATAAGAGTATTGTGACATTATGATATCGCATTTATGGTGTCTCTCCATGTTGTCTGTCTTGCGCAGTACTGGCCTCGTACAGACTATGACCTATTATTGTCTTCAATTGGTCCACCCAACGATTTGGAGATCTCCCTCTAGGACGTTTCCCGTTCACGTTTTCCTCCACAATTAGTTTTTCTAGGCCATTGGTGTTCCTGGATATGTGGCCAAAGTATCTTAAGTATGACTGATTTATTGATATCGACAGTCTAGATTCGATATTCAGTTGTTCTAGTATTGAAATATTTGTACGGTGAGCTGTGTACGGTATTCGCAGCATCCGTCTATAACACAACATTTCAAAAGCATCGATATTATGTTTCATTGCCAACTTCAATGTCCAGGTCTCTGAGGCATAAGTGGCAATGGGGAAAATTAGGGCTCTTAGTAGTCTGAGTTTGTTGCTAATTGAAATGACTGAATCTTTCCATATTTTATTGAGTTTGGTCATGGAATTACGTGTTATGTACATAAAATCTTCTTGATTTCGCATCACACCCTCCTTCTGATATCAAGGAACCGATATATATATATATATATATATATATATATATATATATATATATATATATATATTGATCTACAACTTCGAAACCTGCTATTTCTGTTGTATTCGTGGGTTCTCGATCCATAATCATTAATTTTGTTTTTCTTTTATTTAGTGTTAACCCATATCTCTCGCTGACCACCTCTAATTTGTGCATAATGGATTTTAATTCATTTGCGGAGGATGCGAGTATATTATAAGTGTGTCATCTGCGTACCTTAAATTTGTTATTTGTTTACCGCCTTTTATACGAACATAGTAAGTTAAATAAAATCTTGTAAAAAATAATAAAAAATATGAATGGTAGGTTATATGGTATTTCCAAAACAATTCATTCATTTATAGAAGCTTCATAATCAGGTATTATTTAAAGTAATTTTCTAATTAGCGCTATCACCAGAACAGACGTAATGCTATGTGCGAAGTTCCCTATGCAACCATCGAATGACGAAACGCTCGGTTTAGCAAAGCCTCGCCACACGCTTCTAATTAGCAAGCGAAGGTTATCGCACACAAATGCAATTTTTTACGTTCTATTGACGTACTGCATCGACCGACCAAGATAATTGCATTTGGGAATTAATAGACTATTTGTCCAGGTAAATGTCAGTTTCGGTTAATTACTGATAACCCAATCACGAATACTGGACAAAGCACTTGTTGAAACCAGTTTTATATTGGATTTTGCTAAAATTCAAAGCAATCTCTGTTCTTCAGTGGCTTGTCAAAGAAGATTGGCGATAATCACAGCGAATTCTTCTCGTCTTTCCGCTGTTCTGGCGGGTGTTTAAAAATTCATACCTGTCCAATATCTTCAGCAGCTGTTTTTCTGTGTATACTGCATGCCTTGGCGCAAACGGATACGTAACTCTCATTTTACGCTGTTCCTAATTGACTTCTATGTAAAATGTTCTTTTCGATGAACTTTGCAGAGCGAATTGCTCACGAGAGACTTTGCTTTGAAAGTTCTCAAATATAGTTTTAAAGTTTTGGTTACAGGGCGATTCTTGCGTTATAGCATTATTCAGTCTAAGGGCTTTGTCAAGAGCCAGTATCTGAGACGATCTTAGAGAAAGTAGTTCTACGTCTCCGATATCAGTCGTACCAACGTTTATAGCAAGAATGGTTGTCATTTCGGCGCGAAGTGATGAGATGACAACCATTTTGGTGTTTCCCCATTTTCCCCACAAATTTTGTAAAAACTTAAAAGGCAACAGTGTAGAATAATGATAGTGTAGAATTGACCTGTATCGAATCAAGTTCTTTTAGCGGCTGCTTAGCTATCTGCCAAGATAGAAACTTAATGTTGTATTAATGATTATAGTAACATATTTATCTCAGAATCAAAACGAGGAAACAACATGTTCATTTTTATTTTCTATGAACTGTTAATATTAACATTAAGGAAACATAGTACTAACAATAATAATAATATTGGGATACGCAATATTATCAAGAAATTTCAAGTACAATGTTATCACAAAAAAAAATATAAGGAAGTATAACATTCAAGAATATGTGCCGAAAATAACAAGGAGACCAGGAAATGTAAACCAAACGTCAACTATAAAAAATTAGCATTCAAATTTTCAGAAATTGCGTTGAAGTCAGCTGTAAAGTAATGTTGTCATTAATAATTTACAATTATTGATGTTATGTAATTTGTGTGAAGGTCAACCTAGCATATTTATCTTACTAATATGAATCGTTTTAATAGCCTTACATGATTGACGAGTATGTAGTTATGTCTAAAATTGTAATGAAACCAAAGAAATATTTTCATTTTGTAGTTTCTAGCAAAGAATAAACTCTCTTTATAGATATCTTAATCCTGCATACATTGATATACATTAGTATTAATTTAAATGTATATTTTATCCAAATACTTTCACTGCTTTCTTTAACCTTGTTAGCGGGCTTCAGTGAACGTACTAAGTGGTTATACTATTTCTTTTTTTTTCTACATTTAAGTGATGACTTAATACATATGTCAAAAAAATCTTGTAGCCTGAGAATATCTTTATCTTAGTTCCTTTTAATATAAATCATTTTAATAAAATTATGAGGCAGTTTTCCAATAAAAAGAAATGAATTTTATTTGACAGCAACAATCCATTTTTAATTTTGACATATATTATTATAACCCCAAATCAAATGACAATGACAATTACTAAAAAGAACATGCAGTCACTAATCTCTTTTTTGTCTGGTTGCCAAGTAATTGAGAGAGTTCTACAATACATGACGTGACGTTGAACTATGGCTAAACATTTCATATCTGAAAATCGAATTTTTATACCTTCCTCAACAAATCGTCTTTTGTGAAGTCATTAATATTAATGAAACTTTCCCCTAAATCGACCTATTTACATTACAAGTCATTTAAAAATTCGAATAACTCCTGTCTAGTATTGAATATGCCCAATAAACGAAACCCAAGCTATAAACGCCCCAAATAACCACACAAACGATAAATAAATCGCTGTTATTTGCTTTAGGCCGGTCTCTCTAATGACACTAACAATTATATTCCAATTATCACACAGAAAAAATGGAGATAGTAGAGTTAATAGCGTAGTTTCCCATTGTCTATAAAAACTTCGAAGTATTATTCGTTCTAAAATCGTTAGAATTTCGAAAATAACTTATTATCACCTATCGATAACATTTTTTCTTTAATTTTCTTAATATCTATCATGACGACACGCTTTCTTTGTTTGATAAAACTTGAAAAAAAAAACAAGAATTTAATCGATAAAATTGCAACCTGTTTGAGGAACAAAGGTTCTATGCACTCCCGATGCACACAAAAGCACTCGTATCTGATACGAATGAAAAAAAAACTAAAGCTATTCAAGATGTATTAAATCAGGATCTATAAAAAGCACAACCGAATGGGTTTGGAAGTGACGTCACAATCGAGCGGTCGTGCATTTTTAAAATGCGTCTCTTCATAGGTGCTTTTCCGTGCATGCGCATTTGGTTAGAGTATTAATAAGTTCACGAAGTAGATTTTTCAAACCGACCAATGGAAGGACAGAGAAGAATGCAGGAACGAAAGCATTATGATTGTTTCAATGTCATTGTTCTCTGTATTAAAAAATCTATTCTATCAACTTTTAGATGCTTATAAAGAACAAGACGCTCAACTCTAAGATTGGACTACGATATAAAAAAATGCAAATGCAAATGAAAGAAGAATATGCAAGGCAATAGATTAAAGTTGAAGACTGGATATCTCCAATATTTGCGAGCTTATCAATTAAGGTTTGTTATTTGGTACATTTAAAATCAATAGAGCATTAAAAAGCCAACGAACTTTTTTCGTACATCCCATGCAAACATTCACTAACTTGAGGGTCTTCTCTGATAAAGAGGGTAGATGCAGAAGCCATAAGCGAAGGAGAAGCCAGAGGAATTTGACTCTAAACAGTTAAAAAATACAAAATACATACTGTAATTTTCGAAGATTGTGTTTTTTTGTTTGGATATCAAAAGAAATCTTTTTATTTGGATTACTGGAAATTGCGAGAAAATAAAAATAACGAGATGCAAAACAATGAAAAATTCGTGATAAATAACGATGAGTACTTCACAGACAGTTCCTTTGTCTTAGAAAGCGGATTTCTCGATGTTTTTAGACGCCAAATACCGGAATGTACTACGCCATTCAGCAGAGGCGAGAAAACGCAGTTTACACGCTTGTAAACAAATTAAGTCGAACATCGCTCGATGTTATTGTGCTTTTAACTAGATAAACACGCGTGAGGAAGGAATTGCGATGTTGCAATCTATCAAAAAACGTATTATTTATTAAAATCAAAAAAAAAAAAGAAATTTGGATTTTTTGAATAAATTAATCTGGAAAGGAATAAGTACTGTTGCATCCACCATTTATTAAAATAATTACCAATTAAAAAGTATTTAAAGTGTTCAAATAAAACCATTATATTTTTGTTAAATGTAACTATTTATTGGTCAATAATGTGGCAGCTATGTAACTAGTTCACACAGATCATTATACACAGTTTTGCACTTTATTTGTAACCTGTCTGTCTCTTATCTTTAATTTTGGTTTTTTTTTTTTTTTTTTTTATTTTAAAATCATCTACTTCAAAAAATCAAGAGATTAGGATTAATAGAAAAACATGATGGAGTCTGTTACATTTAAAGTAAATAAATCCCATACTATAGAGTATGGGATTAAAAATCAGGCTAATAATTACAGCAATGATTCCCAAAGTGGTTCATGTGGACCCCAGGTCAACAGAGGATTTGGTTTCTAGAGTATTTAGTTCCAATTTTGTATGCTCAATAATTGTGTTATAACTTCAACCTGACGTTTTCTCTTGGCGTGAATGTTAGTTTGCTTTGTTTACGTACCTCCTTGCCATTGGGGTGAATTCTTATAATCACTTCGTCGGTTTCCACGTGATGCTTCATCACTTCTCCGCAAATCTCCCTTCCGTTGAAGGTGACGAAACACTTTTGGTGGCACACCAACTCAGTACCTAGCACCGATTGAAATCCAGGTCCTATAAGGTCATTTTCGAAAAACTCCGCAGTGGTACGACCCAAATTCCCTTGCCTCGAATCGAACCGAACCGTATACCGGGTGTTCGGCGTCAGATTCAGGCAATTGCTGTTCGATTCCACGTTTGCCGGAGTCTTGACCGCTTGGATCACTCCGGAATAGTACTTGCCGTCCTCACCCGGAGCACAAACGCGCGTACCGATGATCGAGCGCTTGGCGATTCTCTTTCCGGTCGACATAGCTGAAGGAAGAGTTGAGGTGACCGGCACTGAAGGAATAAACTCCGAAACAACAGAAAGTTTTGAAGATGAAGCGGATGACACTATGCGTTATCGGTAAAGTACAATCTCCGGACGAGTAACCTTTGCACGGATTGCTGCTGGGGGCTGAAACACTCTACGGACACATCAAGAAGCGAATCTGTGGTTTTGTTATCGTAGGATATGCACATACTTGTCGTTGGGGAACCGTTTTGGTGACGAGAAGCCAGGCGAACGGCTGAATGACGACTAAAAGCGGAGAGCGGCCGGCCGGTACACGCTGCGCTTGTAAATTGTAAACGAACAACAGCTGATTGCTGCGTTGCCGGCGGCTACGCGGGGAAAGTCGTGTAAAGCCGCTCTCAGATCGAATTGGACGAGTACTGCGTCATATTCGTGGCAAGCGTAAGGGTACGAACATAGTGGAGGAAGGTTTCTGCTTTCCGGCAACCAGCGCTGTCTCTGGGGACCTATTCTTGACCACTCGCATCTTCAAATATCGCTCGCATCTCGCATCTCCTAAAAAACCATATAACAATACACAGATGCGTAACTTTGCGTATATGCATCACGTGTATTGTATATGGCTATTTCGGAGAGGCGAGAAGGATTCCGAAATAGATAATTAAGAGGAAATTTACCTGATTAACTAACCTAACCTAATCAAACCATATCCAAACGCACATAGGTGTATTTGGTCTATAAACCTGACCAAAAGTGATATTTTTTTATTTTCATTTTTTTATCTTAACTGAACACAAATCTGTAAATACTAATGCTTAAGCACGTTTATTAGTTATTAGCTTTTTAAGTCGTAAGTTGACTATCAAATAAACTAAATATATTTCAGTTAAAGTATGAATTATCTTGAGTGTATTCTGAATATTTCTAAGATTATAAAAATAGTGGAATTGTTTGTAGTGCTTTTTTTTGCAAATTGTTCATAATAACTGTCATGATGGATACAGGGCCAGCTTTGTTTGTTGGCTCTGTTCTGTTTATGCCATATTTTTTTTTTATTTGAAACGTTTCCTGCTATTCTATTTTTTTTATAATGTTTTATATTTAAAAATTAGTGGCATTTTATAAAGGTGTAAAGACTATTCGGCAATATTCCGCATGGAAATTAGTATCCGTTCAATGCTTAAAGTCTCCAGCATTGGAATATGCACAAAAATCTTGCCAATATTTGCCACTGCAAAAAAAAACATTGATTTAAATAGATTCTTAAAAGAAATAGTCTTTACCCTATTAACACCCATTCTCGCTCAAATATCGTCTATAATATACAAAATTACTTTCTTGTTCTAGCATCCTCATCCAATTGCTTGGTTTTGCACAGAATGGCCCTATTTGATCGGTGGAAAGGGTTTCAGAGTAGAAAGGAAAAAATATTGTGTAGGAAAAACAAAATGGGGGTCCATATTAGCAACCTCTCCTCTAATTAATAATAATTAATATTACTACTAGCAAAAGCACAAAAATCATAAAACATAATTTTGGCCAACTTTTAGTTCTTAATACCCCCTGTGCGCCGTCGGCGCGTGCAAAAGCAGGAAAATAAATAAATTTTGTTCCGGTAAAGCGAGAACGCCGATGAACTCTGGTTGACGGTGCCTGCCTGCTTTCACTGTAAACTAGCCGATTTGATAACACGCTTTAATTTTTAAAGGTTATAAGCGCGAGGCGGCGCGGCGCGGCGCTACTATGTAACCATACAGGGTGTCCCAGAAATAAGTGCAAGTATTTTTAACTTAACTGGTAGTATAGTTCAACCCAGAAACACGCCTATGAGGGTTTTTCTAAATAATTTTTTTTTTGAAAATTCAGATTTTGAAATATTTTTGAAATTTTAAAAAAAAAATTTTTTAGTTTTATTTAAAAAAAAATAGTTTCTTGATAACATGGCAGCTTATGGGTAGTAGATTAAATTTACAAGAAAGAAAATCAGAAAGATCAGTGGTTCTCAAAATCTCAGTATTGGAAAGAATGTGTAAGGACTAAGAACTATTGTCTACAATAAAACGACGGAAAGCAACATATTTTGGTCATATTTTTTCGAAATAACAAATATAGTTTCCTACAGCTGATCGTTGAGGAAAAGATTGAAGGACGACGAGGCATCAGGCGTAAACGGTTTTCCTGGTTGCGGAATTTGCGCCAGTGGTTTAATATAGGGGAGGCCAGTGCAATTATCCGTTTGGCTCAAGACGGGGAGGAATTCCAATTGGTCGCCAACCTCCGATGAGGAGAAGTCACATGAAGAAGAAGAGTCTCAAAATTTTAGCAAAAAATATTTTTTTTTGGAATTTTTCAAAAGTAAAATAACTCCATTATTTTGGACTTATTTGAAAAACGATAAAGAAAATATGTTTCTTTTTATCGAGATCTACCACCCTTTAAAATACTTGCACTTATTTCTGGGATACCTGTTTATAACAATACATGTGATGCGTATACGCAAAGTTGCGAACGATGTCAAGAATAGGTGCCCAGATTGGCGCTGACTACCAGTAAGCGGCAAACCTGCTTGACTGTGTTCGCACACTAATGCGTTTCGAGGCGAACGATAACTTGTAATAATCTAATTATATTGTACATTCTACGTAGAAGGATATTTATTTGTTTTAAAAAAAAAAAAAAAAAAAATATCTTCTTCAATTGTGTCGGTGTATATTCTAGGATCCAGGTCATTATCACATAAAACCTAACTCCAAACATCATAGACTCCAAAAAATTCTATGGGTATTTTGCCGCTGTAAGAACCTGTAACATCATAGAGCTACATTTCAAATAGCGCATTATCAAAAAGAACGGCCTCAATGTCTATGGAGAATGACAATCGATGAAAATTTTGGCGAGATTTTCTCCATTATGGGTCTTAGGTTCTTCATTTCAGCAAGCCTTAACATGCTTTTGGTTTTGTTTGTTTTTTTGTTTTCTCTAGACTATATATTATAGCGTTCTACGCCTTCCGGTTCCCAGTCTCCATTGCCTTCGATCTTCCCAATCTCCTGGGAGTAAATTTCTTTCGGACATAGCTCGGTTAATGCCCTCAATCCAGGTAACTTTCTGTCTTTCTTTTCTTTCTTCTTTCCGCTGGTGTCCATTTTAGGATTTGTTTTGGTAGACGTTCGTCAGCCATTCTCTCTCCATGTCCATACCATATTAGTTGGCGATTTCATCGAGGATAGTTTTCTTTACGCCCATAATCTCTCTAATTCTCTCGTTCGTTATTCGTTCTATTCTCGACTTTCCGGCAGATCTTCGCCAAATGCAAAATTCCATTTCAAGAGCCAGTAATTTACGCTCTAATTTATTTGCCAGGTTTCCATCTATACAATACAACACTTTTAAATATTGCATTGTATAAAATGTGTTTTCTTTCGATAGAGATGTTTGTTGACCATAATAGTGAGTTTAGGCATCCTATATCTAGACCTCATTAACTAAAAATTCACATAAAACTGTCAAAAATTAACTCTAATTATAGAAATTCAGATGAAATAGAGATTATAGAAACACAGATTCTGTGGGGGAAAATGGAGAGAGCACCAGAACACCTCATCTCTGACTGCGCCGAGACGACAACCAAATTTCATGGCACTAACATGAACTTTGGGACAACTGATATCAGAGGTGAAGTGTAAGACCGTCTCAGATAGTGGCATTTGTCAAAGCCCTGTTACTGTATGATAAATTATAACTCAGGAAAGGGGGACACTTACTTGGGGGGATTACAAATTTCAAACTTACTGTAATATCCATATCTTTAGGTCGCTGAGGGACTTCTCACGTACTCTTTATCCCAATACTTGTCTAAATAAGTGTGCCTGTATTGTTGTACTTACAAACCATCTTCTTGAATCTCCTCCTAAACCAATGCTGATCTCTATTATACATTTTGGCTACCGACAACAGAAAAGACAAGAAAATTGTGACATCAAAAGAGTCTTGAGTCTAAAAAAATATATCCTCACTGGACAGACAATTCGCTGAGGGACTTCTCACGTACTCTTTATCCCAATACTTGTCTAAATAAGTGTGCCTGTATTGTTGTACTTACAAACCATCTTCTTGAATCTCCTCCTAAACCAATGCTGATCTCTATTATACATTTTGGCTACCGACAACAGAAAAGACAAGAAAATTGTGACATCAAAAGAGTCTTGAGTCTAAAAAAATATATCCTCACTGGACAGACAATTCGCTGAGGGACTTCTCACGTACTCTTTATCCCAATACTTGTCTAAATAAGTGTGCCTGTATTGTTGTACTTACAAACCATCTTCTTGAATCTCCTCCTAAACCAATGCTGATCTCTATTATACATTTTGGCTACCGACAACAGAAAAGACAAGAAAATT